GATCTGGCACATTAAAATCACAGCTTTGTTATTAGTGTGTACTGTTTGTCTCTGATCATTGATACAATTTTTTTATTTTAAAGTATAATACTTAAAACGAAAATAAAAAAAACTACAATCTCGTTCTCAAGTGTGGCTGGAGGGCTACTACGTCACATCCGCCGTTTCCCTCCGGAAGTACAGTTAATTTTTATTCACAAGGAAAAAAAAAACAGCTGTTGTTGAGAAAGAAAACATCAAAAGTGAGTTTCATTGACGTATGTCGGGCCTTTATCTTTTCGCTGACGTTAATATAGTAAGGAGGGCTCTGTAAACTGTGGGCTCGGTCTGTGTGGCCGCTGTTTTGGCTGACTTCAACAGCGAGTCTCGTTTCGCTCATTTGTTGCGAGTTGGCTGCTGCTAGCGTTAGCTCCCCTCACTGTGGACTCTTCAGCTAGCACACTAGCCACTCTTAGCTAGTTATCTGACCATTTCTGACTGTCTGCACAGCTCCAGGTGACAACAATCTCTGTCGACTGTCAGTCAAGCAATAAGATCCTTTATACAGATGGTGGATAAGTGAGTAAATGTAGATCGTACATTGTGTGACTCGCTAGCCACCTAGTTTAACTACGATTTATCACTGTTTATGTCCAGTGTTAGCCAGCATTGTTGTAGGAGAACCATGTAACACTAAATGCACTTGGAAAAGGATTATAGGTTATAATAATATATGACTTAAATATACTTATTGCACATGGGCACAGATGTGTTATTTTCGTGATGGGTTTGGAGGCTTGTTGTCTGTTCAGGAGGGTTTCATCACATTTTATTATTCCACCAGGGGGTAGATTGAAACTACAGGAATCCTAGCCAGTTTTGTTAAATAGTAAATTTAAGTTAACTTGTATGTGTTTTGTTGGTCTGGCTTTATTATATTTGTTGTAACTTATGTATTTTTATCAATATTGTTTTGACAGAATGCCGGCCCCAAAGAGAGGACCAGCTCCTCATGATTCTCAGCCCAAGATGAGGAAGTTGGATGAGGACGGGGAGTCTCTGCCATCCAAAACTGCACCAGCTACCATTAATAGGTCCCTTAAAACAGGAAATACGCAAGAAAACACAGCAGCCCCCCGGACTAAGAAAAAACTGTCTACTTCAGCGGAAGAGGGAAATAAACCAGCCAAGTCATCCAAACAGAGTTCTCCTCCGAAGGATTCCAGCAAAATCATCTCAGACCCACCTGTCAAAAAAGCCAAGCTCCTGAACGCCACAAGTGCCTCCTGCGGAGAAGCTCCCTCACAGAAAGCTAGCTCCAAAGCTTCCCTGAAGCGAACAGCCTCCACAGAGTCCGACGATGAGTTGAGTAGTGATGGTAGTAAGATAGACCTCTTTAGAGAGAGGGATGACGGTGGCAAAGCCCGCTGCATTCGAAAATATTCAAACAAAGCAAAGCGCAAGGCTGAAGAGTCATCTTCTGACCAACAGGACACAAACCAAGGGTTACCATCTGGATCTTCAGACCCTGTACAGATGGACCACAATTATGGTAGATTTTCAGATTTGACAGATATTCAAAGCATAAGTGAAGCAAATCAGAATGAGCAAAAAGAATCTGCAGAATCTGTTACTGAACTCGAGGGACAAGGAAAGTCAGAAAATGCAGTAAAAGTAGAGTCAACGTTACTCTCTGAATCAGTTAGCGATAAGACTAGTATCAAATCTGAGTGTGCAGTTGTAGAAAGTAAACATGAGGATTTAAGAAATTTAGAAAGCCTAAAACTCATAGAAAACGAAACACTACCATCATCTAGAGAAATATTAGACTCGGTCACTGCAACAGCTGCACATATGCCTTGCATTACACCTGAGGACGTTGCAGAGTCTACCAACAGCCAACAGGATGTAGATGATAAAACACTAGTGTTGTCAGTGGAAACACTATGTGCTGTTACTGGAGAGGTGAATCCGAGCTGTGAAGGTGAAGACCAGGCAGGTGAAAAAACCGGCTCAGCTTGCAGACCAGAGAGGCAGACAGATGCGAGCAGTGAAACTGAAATAAAGGAGACCACAGGGTTTGTTTCTGAAGAGATGAAACTGAATATAAAATGTAAAACTAAGGAAGATGAACATGAAATGAAGGGAGTGATTGAAGCAGCCGGTGTCTCAGCGGAGCATAAAGATGTCGGTACAGAAGAGAAAGCATCGTCAAACAAAACAAACTCTGCACCAGAAGAGATCCTGGTTGGAAACAGTAATCCAGAGAGTCAAACAGACCTCAGTGTCAAAATTCAAGTTACTTTTAAGGAGGAATCGAAATCTGTACACATGGCGGATCAGGTGCCAGATAAGTTTACCAGTTCTTGTGATGGTGTGAACAAAGTGGTTAGAAAGTCTGAAGAAAAGCTTGAAGAAAGTGAAAGAAAAGGAGTTGAATTCCAGTCGTCTGAGTCTGTTGCGGGTCCCGGGTCTTTTGTTGAGGTGCAGCTGAGCCATGGCGTGACGGACAAGATGACTGACAGCCGCACTGAAATATTGACACCTGATTGTGAGGCGGTTCATGAGCCAAAACAAAGAGAGGTGCTCTCTGAATGTGTCACAGTCCCAGAGGGTCAAACAGACATGGACATGCAGACTAAAATAACATCAGAGGGGATGCCTGACTCAGCACCTAGAGTGGCTATCCAAACTCAGGATAACCACAAAGTTAATGACCACACTACAGAAATACCTGCTGAGGTTAAAGATGTGACGGCTGAAAATTCTACAAGTGTGGGAAGAGAAGAGACGGGCTTTGAGTGTGCCGCTGCACCAAATGGTCAAATCACAATGAATATAGAGGCTTCAGCGACATCAGCGCAGGAGATTTCTTATCCCGCCTCTTCAGTGGAAACACAAAGCCAGAAGGGCCAAGAGGTTTGTGAACCTGTTACAGATATATCTACTGGATTTAATAACGATCATGTGGTTGAAAATTCAAAAATGATGGAAATGCAGACCACATCGACGTCAGAGATTTCTCCTCATGGAACTCTTAAAGTGGAAATACAAAATCAGGAAGAGCAAAAGAGTGAAGAATTAACTACAGCCATATCTACAGAGGTTTATGGAGATATTGAAGATAATGAGAGCTCTGAGTGCGCTAGTCAGTCTGACAGTGAAAACAGAATGGAGTTGCAAACTGTAACAACGTCAGACATTTGTGATCCAGCACCTACACTGGAAGTGAAAAGGCAGGACAGCCCAGAAATGAGTGAACCCGTCGGGGACGTATCTGATAAAGGACGTGCAAATTGTGAGAGCACAGAAGATGAACACAGGGTTGGTACTGAATGTGTTGCTCCTCCTGAGGATCAAACAGAAGTGGATATGCACACTGTAGCTACATCAGAGGAGCTTTTTAACCTCACATCTACAGTGGAAATACAAAACCAGACAATTCAGGAAGTCAGTGAACCTACCACAGTCGCATCTGATGAATTTCATGAGGATCAAAAAGTTGAAAATTCTAAGTTTGTGGAAAATGAAAACAAGGCGAACTTTGATCCTGTTGCTGCAGCAGAGAGTCTAATCGAAATGGAAGTGCCAACAACGACACCAGAGATGGCTAACTCAGCCCCTTCAGTGGAAATACAAAAAACAAGAGCTGCTACACCAGAGGAGATATTTAACATGTCGTCTGAAATGGAGATGAAAAGCCAGGAAGTCAGTGGACATGCTTCACACATATCTACAGAGGTTCACGACAACCTAATGGTTGAAAATTCTCAAAATGTGAAGAATGAAGACAAGATCAACTTTGAATCTGTGGCTGCACCAGAGAATCAAACTAGATCGGAAATACAGACTACATCAACTTCTGAGATTTCTAACCCGGCCTCTCCAGTGGTAAGAGAGAGTCAGAAAAGCCAGAATGAAGTGGGAATGGAAACTGCAACAACGTCAGAGATGTCTAATGTCGCACCTACAGTGGAAATACAAGGGAATAAGAGCCAGGATGTCGGTGAACATAGTAGTGACATAACTACACAATACGTGACTGCACCAGAGAATCAAATTAAAATGGAAACTCAGGCCACGTTGACATCAGAGATTTTTACTCTAGCACCTAAAGGAGAAATACAAAGTCACAAAAGCCAAGAAGACCCTGAACCTGCAGGAGACACATCTGATGAAGTTGAAGAAAATCTAAAGACTCCTGCAAATGAGTTTAATGAAAATGAAAACAAGGTGATTATCGGATGTGTCAGTGCTGTTGAGAGTCCAGTAGAAACGGAAATGCAGACAGCAGCACCAGAGGAGATTTCTTATCCAACAACTGCAGCACAGACACAAAACCTGAGATGTCAGGAGCTCAACAAACCCACTACAGACACTGAACTTCAAAAAGATGAAATCATTGCCTGTGCTGAGAGTAACGAAAACACAGAAGCGGTTGTCACCGAATGTGTTAGTGCCACTGAGAATCAAACAGAAATGGATACAGAAACAACAACAGCACCAGAGGAGATTTCTGATCTGGGATCTATAGCGGAGATGCAAAACCAGGGAAGCCAGGAGGTCAGTGAACTCAACACAGACAATGACATTCAAAAAGATCTAGTGAGTGTAAGTTGCTGGAATAAGGAAAATGAAGACAAGGCCGCTGCAGAGTCTGTTGATGTCCCAGAGATCCAAACAAATATGGAAACTGCTGCAGCGCCCCAAGAGATTTCTGTTCCAGCACCTATGGCAGAACAGCAAAACTACGGGATGGAGGAAGTCACTGAACACATCGCGGCATTATCGAATGCAATTCAGAAACCTCTTCCTGTGAACAATTTGGAAAATAAAGAAAAGGAAAATATGCCTGGGACAGAGCCTAGTGCTGAAGATGTCCAAGGGGATATGGATGTAATAAGTGGATCAATAGAAACCGTTGATTCTGCCTTAGAAGAGGAAACAAGGAAGCAAATGATTAATGAGGCCAAAGAAGAGGCTGCAGTCATTTCTAGTGATAAGGCTGACAAAAGAGTCGGTATTATTGAAGGAGAAGGAACTGGAAGCAATGAAGTGATCGTTTTTGTTTGTGGCCAGGCAGATGACATTGATGTTGTAATTCAGGCATCAGAAGAGCAGATTAAGACGGTTAATCAGCCAGAGGTTCAGCTTCACGAAAACCAGATAGTGTATGAGCCCATTAGTAGTCCAGAAAGTAATGACGACAGGGAGACGTCTACAGCGTCGGAGAAGCATGATGGTGCGTCTTTACTGGATATACAGAACACACAGGCCCAGCAGATAACAGAAGGTGCATCTAATAATGAAGAAGAAAAAGAAATAGGTGACCCGCTAGAGGAAACTGTGAAGGAACAAACTTGTGTATCAGATAGCCAAGCAGCAGTCGAGATGGAAGTAGAAAACAACAGTGTGCCAGAAAGTCCTCTCCCCGCGCCGGCGGAGCAGAGTAGCATGGATGTGGATGTGAAACAAGTCGCAGCAATCAGCTCTAGCGATGATATCAGCGCGCCAGATGGCCGGTCAGAAGAAGCAACAGAAAAAAGTGACAGGAACGGCTTTCCAGAGTGCGTCACCGCCACAGAGTTTACTGAACAGGTGCTGAAGGACGCCGGACTTCAGGAGGTTGCAGACGTCACGGTGACAACAACTACAGCCGCCGCCGGAGCTGAGGTACCAGACAGTGCGTCTGAGGAGTATGTGATCTTGGAACCGGTCCCCGAGAGCGATATTCACTTTGATATTGTCACTCAAGCAGCGGCCGAATCGGGTTTGTCTGCCTCGCTCTCAGAGGAGGTGAATCCAGACGTCGGATTAGTGGGTGAAGTAGAAAATCTTTTGAATGGCTCCCAACAAACCGTTTCCCCTGACGCAGAAGTACGTGAGGTCAAAGATGCTGCATTGACCAATTCAGGTGAGGATACGGAGACCGCGGTTAGGGCAGAAATGTCAACTGGGGAATATTTTGAAGTTTGCAAGCAACCATCGTCTGACATGATGGATGTTGATTCTAGAGAGACGGACATGGCAAACTCTCACGGCCAACGCACAAATGAAGACTGTAATGCTGTGGTAATGGAGAATGTTGAGGCTAATTTGGATCTACAAGAAGTGCAGATCCTGGAGGACATAGAGATCGGTCGAGAGATTGTGGTAGCGGAGGAAGAGGATGACGAAGACGGCGACGTTACAATAATAGAAAAACCCGAAGCGGTCCCTCCCAAAAAGGCTGATGAAAAGGTTAATGAGAAAAATAAAGACGGCATCAGTGGGACCAACTTGAAGCAAAACAGCACATCTGGTGAGAAGGCTGACGATGATAAAAAGGGACGAGAGCCGGAAAAACCCAAGAAGCAAGAAATGAATACACAAGCCAGAACCAAAGCTCGCCTGGCAGCTCTGGCTGAGCAGAAAGCTGCAGCGTCTAAGAGAACAGCAAACAGACAACAGCTGAACCTCTTAGCTCTCTGTCAGGAAATCGCAGAGGACATTGCCACAGACAGCATGCTTTTGAAGAGGATAGAGGAAGAAAAACAAGCAGCAGCCGCAGCAGCAGCAGCAGCCGCCGCAGCAGCAGCAGCCACAGCAGCCGCAGCCGCCGCCGCCGCCGCCGCCGCTGCCGCCAAGAGTGAAGCCAGTAAGAAGGAAAGTCCACCTGTTAACTCGCAGGATCCAGATACTGTTAGTGTTGCAACTCCTGCTGGACCAGAAGGCTGCTCTGCCTCGGTGACCCCTGCTCCGGAGGCATCTGCAGCTCAGCCCTCGACAGCTGATTCAGCTGACGCCAAGCCTGACGCAGAGCCTCCGAAGAGACGTTTCTTCATCACACAGATTTCAGTACCACTGAAAGCCCATGAGAAAAAGAAGCTAACTAGATATCAAAGACTAAGACAGGTTGAGCTGCAGAGAGAAAAAATGTCCTGGGCACGAGTCAAGAAATTAAAGTCTGACCAAGCAAATCAGATGTTTTCAGACATGGATTGGCAAGCACCCCTTTCTACCACCTCTCCGTTTTCAATGAGTCCTGTGACCACAACTCCTCCACCTGCTGCCAGTCCATCGAAAACATCTCCCCCGAGTCCTGCCACAACCAGCAAACCAGCTACACTCACGGCAGAGGTTCCCAAAGTTGAGACTCCAAAGGCTGAACCCGTCAAAACGGAACCCACGAAGACAGAAACCTCCAAATCTGTGCCGGCTAAAACCGAACCTACCAAACCCGAAGCCTCTAAAACCGAACCTCCTAATACTGAAACCCGGAGAAGTACAAGGCAAAGTAAGGCTCAAACCCTTAAAACAGCCCCTACTCCAGGGCCGGCCCCAAAAGTGACCAGATCAGCATCAAAGAGGACCCTCCCAGCCGTACCTCCTCCCATGCCCAACGGACTTAATACTCAAAAAGCGAAGCCTGTTGAGTACAAGCCATACAGACCCCGGCCCAAGTATTCCCCTGATGACTTTGAGCTCGATGATGACCCGTTGCCAGTTGCTCCGACAAGACCCAATCCTCAGTCAAGGCCCACACAACCGACACGACCCAACCCTCAGTCGAACCCCACAGCTCAGTCTAAACCCGGAGTTCAGTCAAAACCCACAGTTTCATCACATCTTGCCAACCAGGCGAAACTCAGAGCTCAGACCACGCCTGCTGGACAGACCTCAGGTCAGTTAAAGCCCAATGTTGCAGCTACAGCTCAGTTAAAGCCCGCCTCCTCCACCACCAATCCACAGTCAAAACCTGCTGCTGCAACAACCCTCAAGTCAAAGGCCGCAGCTACACCTGCGGCTTCCCCGAAACCCATTCCCACAGCTAAAGCTCCATTAAAGTCTCCCGTCTTGACGACACCACAGTCGAATGCGGTTTCAGCTCCAGGTCAGCACAAGCCTGCCGCTTCTGCTCCTACCCAGGTAAAGCCTACCGCCGGTGGAGGTGCAGCTCAGTCGAGGCAGTCTGCTCCAGCTACATCTCAGCCTGCTGTGTCAACCACATCTGAGACAAAACCTGGTGTTTCCAAGACGGATGCTTCTTCAGTGTCTCAGAAAACCACAAATCCACCATCATCCGGAGATGGCAAATGCAAGGTAACTCGGGAGATAAATTCTGCCACAGTATATGTCACGAGCAGCATATTTGACTACACTGTAGATGCCACTTATCTGTTATCTCTCTTCTTTTTTACATAGGAAACAGCTGATCCACTTTCATCCACCCCCACCTCTTCCCTTTCCTCTGGAGAGAGCTTGAAAGTGTCTGATGGCAAACGGCACGGTGAACAAAAGCCTGCAGGTATGTATTTATTTACAGGTGGCATGATTTATTTAAACTTGTCACATTATGTTTTTTTTGCACTGCTAAATGCAGCGCCGATTCTGCCTTCAGGATATCTTTTACTGATCTTATATTCTTATTCTTGTACCCTTAAGCATTTAATATGATTTATACTGTTATCACTGGATAATCTGAGTAAAAAAGCAACAACAAAGTACGTGTGAAAAACACATCAACACTGTAAATGGATTGCAATAATATATAAATCTTGATATTACCAAGGAGACTGGAGTCTATATTGTTTTACTTATTACATGACAACATGAAGCTGAAACAGTGTATGTTATTAGTAAAAAGTGTATGTTATTGATTTGGTCATGTTATTATTTCTACACTGCAGATGTATTAAAATTATAATGAAGTTGTATCAATGTGTAAAACTCTTACCTTTTCCTACAGTCACTGGCGTTGATCCCTCTCCAGAGAATAAGACAGAAACAGCCCAGACAGCTGAGGGCACATCGGAAAAGCCTTGTCAAGAGTAAGAAGTTTCTCTTAAATCGCTTGACAACGTTTTTTTCTTGTAGCAATAAAAAACTAATCTGAGGTGCGTTTGTATCAAAGCAGAGCAGAGAATCCACAAGACGGCGGGACTCCTCTCTCTGATGCTTGTCTGCAAAGAGAAGTGAAGAAACTAAAGGAGGCCGACAAAGATGGCACCCAAACTATTATTGTAAGGGAATTTTTTCATTTCTTCATCCATCATTTTCTTTTTCAGACGTGCAGCCTAAACCCTTCAGGCTGTGATAAACTTTGGAGTATTTGTCTGTAAACTTACAAACCAACCTTCAACCAACTAGAGGTTGGGGTAAGATCATGCTAGCAGTTCGATATCTCTGGGAACAGTTGAATATATTCTTGCCTTGCATATATTTAGATCTAAGGAGTGATTTGTTGTGTCCTTTGTGTCACAGGATGCAGGGCAGAAGCATTTTGGAGCAGTGGCCTGCGGTGTGTGTGGGATGCTCTACTCCGCTGCCAACCCAGAGGATGAGTCTCAACATTTACTCTTCCACAATCAGTTCATCAGCGCTGTCAAATATGTGGTGAGAGCAAGTTTCCTTAAATTACACGTCTTATTACTTGTCTTGCCCACCGGCTCACAGAACTGACTCACCAGGGCAAAACACCAGTGTATCCATGCAACCTTCTCTTTTTAAAGACACTGAAAGAGCATTTGCACAGAGCTATGACGAGTTTATTCGAGCCTTAGAGTGCTTAGTCATTGTTAAGTGTAGTTACATATATATATATAATAACAGGTTAACAGGTTGGTTCTGACTCCCCACCACCATGAAAGGTCCAAAGCTCAGTATTGAGTTGATTTTCCTAACGTTTAATACAAGTAATGTTCACTTTCAAAGTTCTGTAATTTTACCAGGATGAGTTTACAGGATCCTATTGAGAAAATAGTGTTGTTGCAGCAGCATAATAAGTGAATGCAGCAAAGAAATGAATGATGATGACATAATAACACATTCAAAAATCTATAAACGAAACGCCAGGTGAGCAAATGGAGACGAAGAAAATAATAAGTGAAACACATTTCTATGTAGTGAAATTTGAAACACACAGGTGGTTACTTCATATAGCAAATAAAAAGTAATAAAAAAACAGCAGTAGAAATATTGCCTTTTAAACAGTGATTCTCTTTCTCTTCTGTGTTTCTCAGGGATGGAAAAAAGAGAGGATTCTGGGAGAGTATCCAGATGGAAAGATCATTCTTGTCCTGCCAGATGATCCCAAATATGCTCTGAAGAAGGTATGTTTACAGAAACGAGCCTTTTTGGTGCTCGTCGCTGTTGTGGGCGGCCCTGCTAAGGCAGTCTCAATAGAAAAGTCTTTTATATAGACCATCGCAGCACTGTACAGCCTAACAGTAAGAAATGTAGCTGCTATCTTCCCTCAGATGAATTAAAATGGTTAAACCAACATAAGCTTATTATTTTATGAGTGAAATAAACTGTATGGAAACTATTTAGAGCCTTTATTAAATGCATAGGGATATAGAAGTGCCATATCTTGTATTGTATAACAAACACAGGAAAATTCAGCGATACACAACAAATTACAAGAAGTCTGAATCAGGATTTTTTCAGATCACTTACATTAAATATTATAAGCCTTTATAACATACACAGTGTGTGACATCATTCAGATAAACTGGCAGTAATTGTTCAAATGTCTCCATCAGTCAGCCGCCACCAGCATATTATTTCCTCGTTAAACAGTAACGGTTTGTTTGTCAGGTTGAGGAAATCAGGGAGATGGTGGACAATGACCTCGGCTTCCAGCAGGTGGAGACCAAGTGTCCCTCTCAGACAAAAACCTTCCTCTTCATCTCCAACGACAAGAAAGTGGCTGGATGCCTCATAGCAGAGCACATACAGGAGGTGAGAGACTTGTGAGAGTGCTGGTGTGAGCAGACTTAGATATTAGTTTAGATTTAATACCGAGCTTCGTCTCATCCGTGTGTGTGTGTGTGTGTGTGTGTGTGTGTGTGTGTGTGTGTGTGTGTGTTTGTGTTTGTGTTTGTGCTCGCTCGCAGGGTTACCGTGTGATTGAGGAGCCCATACCGGAGGGTTCAGAGAGAGAGAAAGTGATGTTTGAACGTCAGAGAGCTTGGTGTTGTTCCACCACGCCAGAGCCAGCAATCTGTGGTATCAGCCGCATCTGGGTTGTCAACATGATGAGACGTCAGGGCATCGCCTCACGCATGCTAGAGTGCCTCAGGTCAGTGTGTCCACAAACTGCCAAGATTTGATGCGATATCGCTTGGGAACAAGTTAAACATAATTATACGTATATGTACTTCCTGTTTTGGTTTCTTCTGCACAGGAACAACTTCATATATGGTTCATACCTGAGCAAAGATGAGATCGCTTTCTCCGACCCCACTCCCGACGGGAAGCTCTTTGCCACACAATATTTTGGCACCTCTCAGTTTTTGGTTTATAACTTTGTGAGTGGAACACGCTCGTCCCAGCCCAAAACTGACGCAGTATGACGGTCTTCAGGAAAGGTAACGATGGATTTAACCGACTAACAGGACCCGCCCTCACTAAACAGCGTCTGACGCAGAATCTGTATTTGCGTAACGATTAAAAAAAAACAAAAAAAAACTGTTAATTACTCCTTGGAGAGGAAACACATTGGTTTAAATCTCAGGATGAAAACAACAAGGTGTTGTTGAAAAATGTTATTAATTCACCCTTTAATCCCTCCCTGCATAGTATTTTGAAAAAAAAAAGTATTTTCTTTATACATTTTTAAGCAAACAATTGGTTTTATTAGAAGTATAGAGTTTACATGCATGACCTGACAGCAATAGAAAACAAAGAGCATCTCATTGTTCTGTTTTTTTTAAATCCCTGAGAAGCATAAGATCAATTGACTGCATTAAATAAAAGGTTATTTTAGAGTTTGTCCTCCTTCTGTTGTAATGTGGTTTATTTTATTTTTTTTTACAACTTTGTCATGGAGTAAACTCTGAGTACGTTGGGGGTTTTTTCATGTTCATCTCTTGACAATTAACAGTGATGCTGCCGTTGTCTCAAGTTGTTTTTAGAAACGACATCCATAATGTTTAAAGGTGACAGCTGCACAATGTACACGGAGCAGTTAAGCTTGACTCTTTTTCCGTTTCAGTCCCCTTCAGTGTCACTGTCATGTTTTCTTGTAACATTTCAAACGAGTCATCTGAACCAGGTGAGTTTGTCGGCGGGACTCTGATCGAGGAGATGAGGGTTAGAACTGTAGCGTGGGCATTAATTGTGTGCTCTAATTTTCTTAGATCACCTCGCCTGAACTGTTTAGTTTTCCAAGCTGAGCCATATACTGTACACCATTTAGCAGGGCAATGTAGCCTATACTGTATGAGTGATGTCTTTTTATTTCATCAAGGCTGTTAATTGCTTTGTTTGTGCCTGAATGAATAATGTGTGACTTATGATGTTGATTTGTTTTCTCTTCTTTTTAGCCATATGTTGCTCTAAGCAGCATTTGGCCTTTTATTGAGTTAGTGTAGAATATCATGCTCCTATTCCTTAGTAACAACAAATGAAAATGTATATCAAATTATCATGTAGATTTATGCATACTATAATAAAATCTATAAAGGAAGATGAGCAAGATCTTAAGGCTCAGGTGTTAAATGGTATTTGTGGGATGGTAAAGGTCGTCCAGGTTCAGCCTCTCTGATTGCAAACAGGAATATTTGCTCAGTGGTCAACATGAGGGGTTAGGATGAACTTCTGCCTCTCTCAACACAGATCTTACAGTATCATTGTAATCCATCACTTATTTTCTTCCTTCTTTGTTTAAGCAGTTGCTTTTAGACAGATGTGTCATGTAAGAAAAATAAATTTGATTTATACGAAGCTGTTATGTAAATATTTATTTAAGTAATAAACAATGTAAAATGTTGTTGCTTGTATTTTTTTCTGAGAAGAAACAACAGGTGAGTGTGGGATTGTGTGCTCTTGTTTTTTCACTTAAGATAAACTTGCTATTGACCAGTGCCATCTAGTGGCCATTGTTGAAGTACACATTTGTAAGCCAGTGATATAAATAAGATTTTATTATGCATTACTCTGTTGTAAAATGTCACGTTCGCGGAATTATTCATTGTCCCCATAATGTCGAATGCTAATAAATTCACATTGCAGTCACTGATGGCATATATACATATTTGAGGTAAGTGTGACTTTTGGGAATTGTCATGTTTTCTCTTTGTAGTTGCAGATGTAAACACTCCCCTCTTTGTGCATTCCTCGACACTCCTGTCACAACACGGGCCAGCTCGATGGCAACTACTGAGAAACAAAACAACCTTAGAACAACATGGATACTTCCTCAGGCAGAGAGTGAGAAAACAGAGGTCCCCGCTCCTCCTCAGAGATCTGATACTGATCAGCAGCAGCAAACAACCGAGCTGAGCTTCCTAAGGTATCTCTTAACACAACGCTCACCTTGGCCTGTTGACTTTCACTTGCGCTGGGATTGTGACGATCATCTGATTTGCTCTGTGAGGTTAAATTCACAGTATATGCTTAATCCAATCCAGGATCCATGGAGATGATTTGGACTTGAGTTCAGGAAAAGGTCATTAGAAAGTAAAGGACGAAGCCCAGCAGCTGTAAATACACACTTTTATTCTTACACATCAATTTAAAGAGACACAATTGTCACAGCTGCCACATTGTAAACAATAACATCATTTATCCTAATTAAAAAGGTCATGTTACCAGAAATATGTGATAAGCCAGAATTACTTAGTGAAAATCGACAAATATCTTATTTACAGTTTAGATTACCAATATACAAAACAATATTAAAGTATTTACTGCCGATTTCTACAATATACACACATCCTGTCTCGTAATCAGTTGCCTTTTTTGACTGATAAAAAAAAAAAAAATACAACAGCACCATTTTGACCTGACCTCTAGGTCAAACCGGAGCTGCGACCACGAACCGACCCACTCACTCTGCAGTGAGGATTGGCCGTGTTACCTGACATCTGTGGGGACTTGATCTGTTTTAATAGTTTTAAAATGAGATTACAGTAATGCTCTGGCTACTTGTTCTGTTGACAGGCAACCTATAAGAAGAAAAGAGCTGCTCTGGAGTGCGCATGGCAAATACACAATCAAGGTGGTAGCAAAAAAACAACATCAACTATTTTTACATTGACCGAGGAGCATAAACTGACAAGTTGTATCACAAGCTCTTAACATACATGGTCAAATAGGAATAAAATTAAATCCATTGGCTCGAGGATCTGTGACACATTGTTACACATTCGGCAGTTAGCTCAAGTGAGTTGACATATGATAGTGTATTATGCCAAGGCTATGGCAACATCAAAATGTAGGCACCAAAGATAAGATCATATGCTGTAGCCCAACAATGTACATTTAATTTAGACCCATCCTCAGGCCTTTTTTTGTGTTTGTGTGATTTCTGCTAAAAAAAAAAAAAAAAGCTGAAAGAAATCTTTACAGGATGGGACAGTGCTCACCGCAAAAATTGTACAAAAAGTCCAACACATCAGGCTCCTGAAGCCTCCGATTCACAACACCCTGGCCTTTCCCAGGCTGCACCACCACAACGCCACCGTCAGATGGAAGCTCTGTCAGTGGGTGCACTTTGTTATCCATCATCTTAAAATCAGTAACAACAGCTGGCAGCATGCCGTTCCTCTCTACCCACGTTTTGGTGTCTTCTGAATTGTCTTTTGTGTCTGTGACGCTGTCGCCATTCGCGCTACTCTTGCTCACTGTGCTCAGGTCATCCTGACACACATCTGAGTCACTAGCGTGGGGCAAAGAAAAGTAGGTGCACTTTCTTGTAAGTGAGTTAGTCTTGTCTTCCACTTCTGTCTTTGTAGTGAAGAGTGAATACGTAGTGTTCTGTTCAGTATCCTCACACGTTCCCTCGCCAAGAGGAGAGTTTGTGAAGGCTTTGTTGATTCCCACTGGGTCTGAAACTGATTTTCTGATCAGCGTGTTCTCTCTAAGGAGCCATCGTCCATTATCAATAGGAACACTGTCTCCAGGCCCAACTTGTGCATTAAAAGCAATGCATCTTGTAGCTTCACTTAAGGTGTCCAGCGCATTACTGGAATTGAAGTATGACAACTCAGACACTGCTTTGCAGTGCGCTATGTGAAAGGGAGAGAAAATGCTTGAATGTTCTTTCTTTTTCTGTTTCGGTGCAGACGGCGGTCTTTCACTTGGGTCCTCATCAGGATTGTCATCTTTCTTTCCATAAAGCCTTTCAATTGCTCTCCTCACAAAGCCTTTAGTGATAGATTTCCGTGCTGAATCGTCTTCACCACTGGACAGCTCACTTGAAGTCTGAGACTGATAGCCACCGCTAGCTGAGGTCTCTGCTCTTAACTCTCTTAGCTCTGATGTGTTCGGGTTCGGGAAACGTCTCAGTCCATGCTGAATGTCTGTGGCACTCTTTGCTAAGAACATTTCCCTGATGGATTTGACCCTGTTGCCTTCAGGCTCTGTGGTGATGACGCCACTGGAATCGTAGCTGAAAGACAATGATGACTGAGGAGCTGATGGGGGACAGATAGTTGACTGAGATGTGGGAGATTCAGAGGGTGAATCCTCAGCATCCGACTCCAGGTGGGTATTTCTTTCAGAAGAATGTCTGATAGCAGGAATATCTGTAACATTTTCTCTCTTTTGTGCATCTGCAGCTTGCTTCTCCAGAAGGCCTACCCTCTCTGCGATTGTGACATCCGACTGTGCAGGAGCTTCCTCATATTCTTTACAGCTCTCCTCCGTGTATGTGTCCATATTGGCTTGTTCCTCTGAGCTGGACTCTTTCTCGTAGTAGCTTAATTCTTCTTCAACTGAGCTTTTGATCTGCTCTACCTCCACCTGCTCTTCACAGCTGCTGTGGTCATTCCCGCTGTCCTCATCTGCATTAAATCTACAACGCTTTGCTAAACTGTCAGACTTTATCAAGCTGCTGCTGTCTTTTTCGGTATATGAATCCAGGTTACTTAGATCTTTTGTACCAAAAATGTGTTTTTTGTCAGCGTGGGGGTCCTCATTGTCTGAGCTAACATTGTCCTCCTCTGTCTCTTCTATCAAAGCCTTTCTCGTCTCTTCCTCGTGATCTGACAGATCATCAAGGTGTTCCTCCTCTTCAATGATCTCCTTTTCTTCCTCAGTCTCAGACAAACTTTCCTCAATTATAACCTTTAGTTCCTTACATTCAGCCTCTGCCTGCTCTTCCTCTGAAGAAGATTTTTCATCTTCATCTGAGTTACCTGTGCTTTCATCAACACTGATATTTAACCCCATACCTGATATTTGAATATCTGGTACCTTCTCAGACTCGGGCAGACTTGCAGGGTAAGACAACGTATCTTCGTTGCTCAGGTCCCTACATTCAACCTCTGGTTTCTCTTCCTCTGTCAAAGACTGGTTTTCACTATCTGGGCTGGAGATGCTCTCCTTCCTGCTGACACTCAGCTCTACATAGTAATTAGAGCTTGGTTGCTTGTCCTCTTCCTCCTCAGAGTCACTGTCAGGGTTGGACAAGTTTTCACCTTCACTTCCCTCCTGTTTTATCTCCTCACATTCAATTTCCAGTTGTTCCTCTTCAGAACTATGTTGCTCACCTGCTTCTGAGCTAGATACACTTTGCTTACAGCTCTCTCCCTGTTCTACATCTTTATTGACACTTGAAATGTCCTGTCCTTCGTCATCTGAACCTGACTCATCATCACTGGTAAGCTCATTCTCTGGGATACTCACACTCTCCTCACTTTGCATCTGCAGCTGCTTACACTCTACCTCATGACTTTCTTTTTCATGGTCTTTCTCGCTGCTGACTACTCCATTCATGTTTAACGTTTCTTGATTTTCCAGATTTTCTTCCTCACATGAATTCATGGCCTCCCTATCCTCTTCCACAGGTTCAGCTGGTGGACATTTGACCGCACCATTCTGCCCATAGTGACTGTCCTCGTCTGTAGTTGTCTGGTCGTTTGGTTCATGCTTGACTCTCTCTGTAATCAGGTGACTACTGTCCATGTCAGATTGTTTTTGCTGGTTAATGTTTGTGAATTTTTTAATGATGGAGCTCACGTCAACATTAAATTTCTCATCTTGAGTAACATCCCCAACATTAACAGCATCTTCTGTGGAGGAATGAGATACCTCGGAATCACTGATATCTTTTGGTGACAATTCCACTTTTCCCATAAACCTGGCGGACATCTTTTCTTCATCATCACTCTCAGTTTTGACTCCCATTGAAAGAGAGGCCAATTCCACCTTGAGCTTCTCAGGTATGTCAAGGTTATCCATGATTTCATCGATAACATTTTCTTCAGTGCCACAGTCTTTTTCTGGACTAGCTTCAGTTATGAGCTCTTCCTCCGAACAATTTGGTGTCGAGCTGCGACTCTTGCATTTGTTGCTGAGTTCCTGAAAGTCCTTCCAACTTTGCAGGAGCTGCTTCGAAGTCGACTGCTGTAAATTTGACAAACTAACTTTTAACTTGTGGGAATCCTCAATACTGGCAATTTCTCTGAGAGAATCGATCATTTTTAAAGCCTCGGCACAGCTGACATTGTTTGCATTCAGCTCATCCATATTGAAGTTAGTTATGCCTTCCTTCAGGGTCATGACGGACAGGAAAGCAAGGAGAGCTTTAGATGATGAGCCAAATGTAGAGGCTACGTGAGAGGAGAAGTCAGGCAGGCTGTTGGACTTTTCCAAACAGGATCGATGTTTGTTCCGTGCGATTTGTCTAATCGACTTTATTGAGTAGCAAATCTTTTCAAGGACAGGTTTCATGTTTGGCTGGTTTGCAACATTTAATGGCTGTGGCATTAATTGTGTTTCTGTCACAGATTGATCTGTATTTGTGAGGTCGTTAGTCTTTTTTGCCTCATTTTTATCAATCTGACTAGCCTCCAGCATTTTGTTCAGTTCCGCTGTTGATTTTATTGACTGTGATGTTTGGCGACGTTTTCTTTCAGATGATGTTTTCCTATGTGTCACACTCCCAGGCTCTGATGCATTGTCAGAGGAGAGGTTTCTGGAGAGCATCTGTCTACTTGACTTGTGTCTGACAGGCGGTGACACCATGTCCAGAGACTGAGAATATGGAGATGGTCTCTTTTGCAGGTTAGGTTTATAATGCATCTTCTTTCTCTCAGTAGAGGGAGTAGCAATGGGTGTTGCGTGTTCTCGTATTCCAATATTTGGTGACATACTTTTATCAGAATGGTGGTTTTGTAATGATGATAATTTTGGAGAGTTATTAGCAAGTTCAGAAGAGAATTTCTTGGTTTGGGGTTTCCTCTCTGGGGATGGACTGCTTATTTGCTTAACTTCTTTCGCCAGTGATTTAGGTGATGATGCCTCTTTTTGAGGTAAAAATGGTGTTTTATTTGTTTTTGTCTCTTTGAATGGGATATCACTTGGTGTTGGAGCCTCACTTGATGAAATGCTGGCTGATGATATCCTCTCCCCAGATGTTACACTGGTAGGAGATACAGAAGGACTACTGTTTGATTGCTGTGTCTTTTCCGGTGGCAGTTGTGTCTCTGTTGAACAGATGGCATTTGGCAGCACCTTGTCATCATCACCCACTGTGTTGATGGGAGTAGATGATGAGCTTGTGTCTGAACTGGCATCAGTGCATAAAGTATATTTATCCAGACAAGCCTTCCTGAGAGACATTTTCCTTTCAAGAGATAGATTACTGACCAAAGGGGCTCTTTTAATAGATGGACATCTTGGTAATGGTGCTTCTCTCGGCATGGAAGGAATGTCAGTTTGAACTGATGTCGTTGTTTCCATTGCGTGGTCGGTAGGTGATATGGTCTTGTCAGATGTAGGACTGATAGATAATGGATGATCATCTGACATTTGACTGCTCGCTGATGAGAGCCTGTATGATGGGCTGCTGGCCACAGAAGGTACATCCGTCACGAAATATTCAGTGCTAGAGTGCTCTGTTATTTCAGCAGGTGGAGGTGGTGGCGGTAGCTCCATTGAAATTGTTTTGGAAGGCGTTGCTTTTTGCAATGAGATTTTGATTGGACTTGATTTATTTTCCATTATAATCCCTGATGGCATTTCTGTTAAGGTCTTCTTAGTTACTGGATTCATTTCAGAACGGTTGCCATTCAAAAGGGGTTTTATTTCTTCTGTATTATTTTGAGCTGCACTGGTGCAATTTTCTGTATTTGTAGTGGTGTCATGACTATGAGCAATATCCCCTTGCTGGGTCACTGCAGTTTTCTCTGCTGAAGAACTTGATGATTTGTTTTCAAAACTCTGGATTCTCAGTTTGACAGATGATCCCAACAAACTCTCCTGCAGTGGGTCAGATTTGAGAGTTTGACATGGCTGTATGTCAGATTTGTTTTCCTGACATTTCCTCTCCTCTGCAACATTGATCAACCCACCGTTATATTCTGACCCCCCACAACTGCTATTTTCTGTTTGTAGGAGAATAACTGCTTTTTTACCTCCCTCATCTGGGTAGGAAGTGGGGTTAAGTTGGGCTTTCTCCAACCAGTTCTCTACATATTCATTAGTAACAGAGCTGGAGGAGTGAAAAGCGGGCAGTGCCATAGTTTTGCTGATATCATAGGACTTGTTTTCATTCTTTTTGTCCTGATGCATTGATGTCTGCCGTGTTAGTATCCCCCTTGATTGGCTCACTTCAGTTGAAGAAACATTTAGCCTGCTTGTTTCTGAAGAAACTGTCCCACTTGAATTTTCTGTCAATGATGATGGTATGTTTGTGTCATCCGAAGGCTGTGAGGTGTTTGTTTTAACACTGCTGGCCACTTTTTCTGCTGGACCCTTTTTAAGCTTCATTGTGTTTTTTGCTGTTTTTGATTTATTGCCATAAATTCTCTTAATGAACCCAGCGCTGGAGAAAGTTTTCACTTTCTTACGCATCTCGCTTGCTTCTGCAGAATTATCTTTTTGTCTTTTCCCTGGTGTCAACAGACGCCGAATGTGTTTATTGATCACTTTGGTTTTTGAGTATACCCTCTTAGCCTTATTGACCTCTCTTTGTTGGGGCTTGTCTTTGCTTCTAGTGGACTTTGAGAATTGTTGCTGCCTTATTGTTGCTTGAATTGCACCAGTCTCCAGTGACGGCAAGGTTAAATCTGATGTTATTGACATGTTCTCAGCCCTCCAGATACTAATGGATTCAGATGCTGTCGAAGGTCTCCAGAGCTCAGGTTCGAACTCATTATTGGAGGAGAGCTGTCCTGTTTCTGAAGTAGCTGGCCTGCCAAAAGAAATCCCAGTAGCAGACATACCTTGCGCACAAATGTTTGCAAAGAAATTATCCTGGCAAGTCTGATGCTCATATATGTGTAAGACAGTTTCAGTGACCTCCTCCCCACTGGATTCAATCTGTAGGATCTCAGACATCGCAGCTGATTTGAATGTGGATACATTTCGACTGCTTATATTGTTGGCATCCACAGAGCCAAATCTTCTTGGTTTGGGTACTGGTTTAGTAGTAGTCTGTTTGACCATACAGTATTGCTCTGTCATGGCTCCATTTTCTGTCTGTTCTTTGTAGGAGTAAGAGCCAACCATACCTTCCTGAATACCCTCGGCCAACAGTGATTTGATGCTCTCCATGGAGGCTTGCTTTTTTATAATTTGCTTGTACCCTGGCGTAGGAGCTCTTCTAGGTGACAGCATGTCTGTCTGCACTTTGATATAATCCTCTTCATTACCACTCTCACTGGGAGCTCCATTGCTCAGTGATGGTGGATCCTCATCATTGTTGTCTTTGGTTCTGTCCTTGTCGATGCTGTCAGTGGAGTCAGCAGGACTTTGTGGATCCAGTGAATTTGATGTAGGCGAGCAGATCTCCTGCTCTGCCTCGGGCTCTGTTAAACAGCTCACATTACACTGATTGGCTACACTTGAGCGTGTGAGAGTGGTCGTCCAGTGGATGGTTTCCTCTTCCTTAATTGTCAAGCGCACCTTCATCTCCACTGTCATGCTGCCATCCTGGTTCACCCGAAAGGACTTCTCAATGTCATCCTCAGCAGGCAGCAAGCAGCCCTGCCCTTCAGCTCCATCACCCTCTGTTTCTGCCACTGACTCCAGTATACGGCTGGACTCCAACTCAACAGAGTTTGTAGGGTTACTGGGAAGGTCATATGAACTTTCTGCAATGGAGTTATGGATCCGATTCACGATATACTGCTCAGATGATGGGGAGAAATTCCTTGACTTTGAACTATATGACATGGACTTCTTTTTACCTTTTCAGTCAGTCAAAAGAGCCAAGCAGATGAAAAAGGGGGTGATGAAAAATAAAGTACAAATGTCCAAAGGTTTCAGCAAGGATTGAAGAGGTTAGGCAGGCGGTTTGAAGAGGATACCCAAGAAGCATGAGGATAAGAGAGAGAAAAAAGAAAAGTTAGAAAGAGAGGAACAGCTCATCACAGCTCATGAAGAACAATAGCCGCCAGCCATGTAGACAGTGTATGTAGGTCATATATGGTATTATGTCTAATATCATTGCCTCAGCACTTTCCAAATCTTCATCCCATGAGAGCAGGTAGATTACTGCAGAGACACTGCATGTGTCATGCGCATGAATGTCCATTGGACTAACTAAATAAAAATAAAACAAAAGGATTGCATGAAGATATATCAATTATTTCACTTACGGTTTAAAGACTTCAGTCTTCTTGGACCTTTTCGGTTGGTAGGAAGCCATGTTGGAGTTAGTGATTTCTGTACATTGTAGTTTGCAGACCTGAAAGGCTCCCTGCCTGCCGCCACTACAGTCCCAGAGCACAATATCAAGCCTGGAAGACTGTCGACCTGCAACAGATATAAAATAAATAAATATACTGTAAATTTGCCACTTTTATTTAGTTCAACAACTATCATTTAAATACAAAAGTAATAATTATTAACCTTGATTCTAAATATATCTGTTTACATGCATGTATGTGTATGACAAGTCTAAATGAAGTGTATTACTTGTTAATATGGCACCTTGTGATACTGCCTTGACCTAAAGCCTTGTACTGCTGTATCCCAGAATGCCTTTCTGGGTATTAGGTTGTGTTGCCAAAGAAGCTTAACACTTTCTCTCCTCATGTGATGGTTATTTACAGGCCAAGTTTAAGTCGGTCCTTCGTGGGTCAATAAAACTTAAATATCTGTATTGAATTTGAACATACTATTTTTAGGCAAATGTACATTTATAAAAATGTTACAAAAATACAGTAATAAGTATATAAAGTTATCTCAGAAAATGGACATGGTTCTGCAAGATGAAGCTATACTTGAATGTGCTTTAAGATTACATATCAGGCCTGAATAATTTTTAGAATTTTTTGAATTGAATTGAGTTTATTGACGGACAAAAACACTCACACGTCTGCCATCAGGTGTGTGTAGTTTCACCACATGGAACTGCATCAGCTCTGAGATATATTCCAGGATGGACTCAAAAGTGGGCGTAGTCCTCTTGTGTAGCACCACAGTGTATTTTACAGTGGGATCTCCATTGCGAAAAACCAGTAGCCTCTTTGGCGTTCGCACAACCACTCGCTCCTGCTTGTGGTTGTTCCGGCCAGGAAAGAACCTGGCCTGCTGCACAGTCCGACGACGAGAACTGACGGGCCTGGCGTGGTACCAGGGTGGCAGCTTCTTCCTGGCCAGCGCCAGATTGATAGGTTTTACCTTACGGCTGTCAGAGCAGATGTAGGACTTCCCATCCTCCAGTTCATCCAAGTTATAGATCGCATGAACCCCCCGAGGGGTGGTGATGTTCCTCACACCAAATGGCAGGGGAACTTTTTTAGAGAGACTATCCAGGAGTGCATCAAAGGTTTTAAAGGTACGATTGTTGATGACCATACGCAGGCCATTAAACTGAGGATCTCCACTTTTGTAGAAGCACACCCGCTTTGAAAGAATAGGGTCTTTGATGCTTGGGTGCCTACGGCTGCCAAAGCTGTGGCCACTCCCTGATGATTGGTCAGGGGGGATCCTTCGAAGCCCCGTCGGATTCATCATAGTTGATTTGCTGCGAGATGGAAATGTAAATAATTAGATACAGCATATCGTAGGAACATAAAGGTTTCTTGTTTTTTTTTTGTTTGTTTTTTTACATCATGCTTCCCAGGTGGTATTCTGCATGGCAGATTGTTAAGGGTGAGATAGTAACGTTTTTGGACCTTCCACCACAGAATCAATGGTGACGAGGCCCTAAAGGTTTCTGAAGTTGCTTCAACACACAAAACATTACACATTTTTACTTTAAACAATAATATTCACAGTTATCCTCCATTTTTTTGTTAAAATTTAGATATATATGTTAAGAAAAATAGTCTAATCGCAGTAACCAATAATCATGAGAAGAATAAAACATGGTTTGGCAGGTTTATGATCATGAAAATGTTGTAAGACATCTGAGAGTATTAGGACGTCTGCTAGGGGCTCAACACACACACAACATTAACATCATGTTCAAGGCAACTTAAATTATTTATGATGTGTAAACAGCTGAATGACGTCTTGCAAACATATGTTGTTTACTTCGTTCCGCTGTGGCCATCAGGCAACATGACCTAACAGGAAGGCTGCCACGTGAATGGCATCTTCAATTATTTGATTACCTTGGTTTGAACAACAAGTGATGCGGAAATCTTTAACACGTAATTCTCCTTCACCAGCATTTGTCCAGTATTTCTTTTAGCATCAGATGTCAGAGTATGAGAATGATTTTATACCATTTTTCAGTATTATTTAAGATAGAAAATCCATACAAAAAAGCAACTATTCAAAAATGTAGGATATGAGAAAAGAAACCCTATGGTCTCATAAAACTTGAATCAATACTTTTTAAACATCAATTTCTATATTATTGTGAATTTAAAAAATAAGAGCTCATTTACATAACATACATTTTTAAACTGATTTTATTAACTGTGTTTTATTATTATATTACTATTTATTATTATTTATTAATTGTGACATTTAATTTTAAAAGTTGATTTTAGGTATTACTTGGCATTAACAGTAGTAGTAGTAGTAGTAGTAGTAGCAGTTGTAGTAGTAGTAGTATTTGTCAATAAACCAGCATTACATTTTCTTTCATATTCAGGATAGAATATTATTTGTAGTAATTTTAAATTTTACAAATTAAAACATTATCTGATTAAAGTTTTATGACCACATGGCATTCCTAACGATGCAAGTGTAAAACATAACTGTCCATTACACCTGGAGGCAGTAAACATATTAAAGACAACGCAGTGAGCAAGTGAACAAACATTGATTTAACCGTAGGATTTCAAAATGAACTCACCTAAGTCAGCATCATGAAATTTCCAACTGTTGTGAAACGATCCATGAAATGTTATTCCGTGCTCTACATCATGACTGCTGTTGAACTAACTGCACAGCAACAGTTTATTTCGGGAGACACCATCACAGTTAATTTGCTTAATCTTTGCTTAAAGTTAATCTCCACTGCAAGTGCAGTGCCTGGAAATCCTCCTCAGAAAGGTGTGTCACACAGATTCGTGTAGAGCTGTTAATAGCAGGCCGAAGAACTCGAGTATATCTTAAAAATGCAGCGACACATTTAAATAGAGATTTTTCCCTGGATATATATTTTCAGTGGCAGGTGCCTTTTTTGCTCAATCACAACTATTTTCAGAACAACACAAAAAAAATCCCCCTCAAATTTGAAATGTTTCAAATATTTTTCAATGTGTTTGCAGTGTTGATGTTTTCCAGTGTTTTAGAAACTTAAATAAGAGCACAATATCACACCTGCAGGAGATTATATGAAAAATAAGGTGATTGTTTTCTCGAGTGACAACAGATGGTAACTCGGTATCCAGTTGTAGTATTCGTGCGGGATTGTAATCTCATTGAGCACCTCTTAGATAGATAATAAGGATTAAAGGGCTTTCCATTCGCAGGACCCTCAGAGAAGAGCACTTGTTTTCAGTGAAAGATTCACCTTCCTACATCTAACTAATGAGAAATTACATTAATTATTAATGGATAAGTTATATCATAGATTAGTTTTGTCTTTAGAGGATTGCTCCATGTGATCTGAACAGATACAGATACAGTCCAGACAGTATAAAATAAGAAACCTAGCAGACACACATAGAGACTTTAATAGTCCCTACAGAAATACACATTATAAATTAGTGCTTGTTCTAGAAATAAAATTAAGTTTAGAGGGGTAGTGGAGTCCAGTAGATTAGCCTGAACCGTATTACAGAGGGTATTAGCCAGTAATGTATATGCTTAACCATGAACTATCACGAGTTGCATAACAGTTACCAAAACTGGACTGAAGTTGGTCTATTTCTGTAGTGAAAGGGATTAGTCGGCAAGGGATGACTTTGTTCCACAGTAAACCTGCGGCTGAAGTGAAGGAATCAGAGGAATACACAGAAGTTATCAGGTTTCAGCTCAGTATAAAAGGATAAAAGTGATGACACTCATACTGTTTAGTTTACTGCTGTAAAAATATCGCAGGTGTGTATGAAACAGTCGCTATGTGCTATAGGAAAGAATTCCTGCTGAGCCCGACCAGACAGATTCAGAAATGCCACCGGAGGCTCCCATGTGTCGAGCCCATGACCTGTTCCCAAAACAACAACGCACAAAAATGTGAAAAATCCGTCAAAGGAAGTTGGGGGGACAATGGAGGAAGCCCTCAGAGTAAACAGGTAGGCCTGAAGCCTGCATGCCCCTCATTCCAGCCCTCCACTGCAGAGATAAGAGACAAGCAAATGTTGAAACTGAGCGGGTAAAAACGGCTGGTCACACTGATAGAGCGGCACAGATCCTGCCAAACATAACCGAATCAGACTGGAAATAGGCCTGAGCTGAAGCTCTGCACTCAGAGTAGCATGACAGGTAATAGCAACAAATGTCTGAAGCTCCATTTGTCACATAACCTTTCACGTCACGTGTTATAACGAACCAGCTGGTGATATGAATACTGTTATTTTTCCTTCACATGATTACATGTGAAATCACACGACGCCATGACAGAGATATCTGTCTCTGCGTTCCGGGTATATTACCACCCCTGCCATGCTCTATTTTTAAGTCCTTGCGCCTATACTGCAACTAATTGGCGCCAAGTTAGATTCAAACCTATGCTGTTAATGGGAAAAAATGTGTGATATGTTTTGGCCCTTGTCCCCTTTCTATATTTGTCCCAGCGTCCTCCATGCAGCTGCTCCTCCAGATCTGTCTGCCTGTGTTCCCATCAAACACCTCTCTTCAGTCTGCATATTGCCTCAATTTGAGAGTCTCCAGTTAGCTCCTGCTTAAAAGAGCAGAATTACAATAGTGACTATGTAGAAAACATCAGTTTTACACTGACATCAAGCCACGTTTAGTCTCTGTAGTGTCATTTAAAATAATATACCCTGCTCGTTTTGTAGCTCTTGTAGTAACTGGTTAAAATTCCTAGCATTGCAGCTGTCAGGAATTCAATTATAAGTGATACAGCTGCACTGTGACCAACAGCAGCTTTTAACATTCACTTCAATTAAAAGTCGGGCAGTTGATCCTGCAAAATATGACCTCTTTTCAACTTTTCTTCCACCCAAATTCACTCTTTGTTCTTCCACAAATGTTCAAATATGCGCAATAATGATAGATTCCATTTTTTCCTTTGGGAGCAGTTTAGCGTGAACTTAAAAAAATGTGGCCTGGCAGAATTTGAGCCAAAAATATGCTTACTATTCAAAATTCCATTCAAGTTACATGATGTTACATCTTTTTTCCCCTCCTAACTTCCAGTGAAATTCCCAGATTTTGAATGAATCACTGCCAAACAGGACTCATAAGGTCACACCACCGCCCGTCCCCTCCTCCAAAACCCCTCGCACAGCAGTCAGAGGTCCCCACCCCATCCATTTTGAGCGCTCCGTATCAGCTGTGCCAAGCTTTTAATCTGCCTGGTGACATCCCAGTGTTTCCTGCATGGGACAGAGGGAAAGATAAGCATGCTCCCCTGTGCGGTAAATCACTCTGCACTCCCCCTCGTTCACTGATATGACCATTATTCAATTAGACTGCACTCAAACTGACCGCAATTCTTGGTAATTGCTATCAAAGGCGGGGGATTGTTTTCACATTTTTTATATTTATTTTTTTTTTACAGTGCCTGCTTTAATTATTCTATGACAAACAGGCAAAAAATGTCTGTTATTGCCGGTGGTGGGAGGTCAATAGATTTTGAAATAGTGTACTTTTGAAAAGTTTTTCATTAATTACAGGAAAAAAAAAGATGTATCTGTATTGTAAAAACACAAGAACATGCAGCTGCTGATATTAAGACCTACTACAGCTTTAACTGAGCTGCATTTATTAATGGAAAAGTTAGTTTGTCAGTTTATGACAATGTATCCAGGTCTTAGGTTGTATGTATTTAAACATAACATAATTTTGAGTAATGTTACACGTATAAAGTTCATATCCAGCTTCATTAGCATACTGCTATAGCTAATGTTAGCAAGAATTAATGTAAGCCAAGCTACTTTCTTAAATTTTTAAAAATTTTATTAAAACTGAGAAATGCAAACTTGTTGAGCCATTTATACTTACATCATCTGCTGCTTGGTGACCCATATAACAAGGACCTCAAAATTTTCTTTCGACGTTAGCTAACCGTTAACATTAGCTAACTGTCAGGTTACGCTGGCTAGCTAACAGTTAACCTTAACTGACATTTAACTGTCAGTCAAGCGAAATCTGATTCATGCGCATATCTCATGTTAAAATGCTCATACTAAAGAATTCTTGTTTGTGAGCCACAACCCTGGGGTTTCTTTTATCTGAGATAAATGTAGGTCTATTCTGCAATATTTTCATTTTTTGCTACTTACTCCTATTTTCTCCTCCATAAAGACATGTTGTACTTTTTGCTCCTCTAAATTTATTTGACAGCTGTAGTTACTACTTAAATTTCAATCTAAAAGTTGGGAACAGTTTATTAGAAACATAGATAACATACAATATAACACATA